CCCAGGTGCCCCCAGGTGTGCTCACGTTGATGCAGAAGAGGGTGGTCATGCGGTGCAGGTAATTGGGATCGGCAGCCATGGCCAGAACCTTGGGCACGATGGTTCCCTGTGCCCAGGTGTGCCCGAAGCGCTCTACCAGCTTCCGCAGGTTACTGGTGGCTGCCTCGCGGATGGCGTACACTGCAAACCAGTACGGACCAGTATGGACCAGTACGGACCAGTACGGACCAGTAACAGCCTCCCCAGGGCTCCCGGTGACCCCCCAGAGCTCCCAGTGCTCCCAGTACCGTGATCCACTAGCCAGGCCATGCACAGTGAGTTCAGCTTCTCGTCGAAGAACTCCACGCCCTGTCGGGAAGCAGAGACCAGTATGAACCAGAATAAACCAATACAGACCAGTATGAACCACCGTTTAGCAGTATAACTCACTTCAAACCACTATAAACCAGCATCAGCCAATACAAACCAGTATGGACCTGAACTCCACTAAGTACAGACCTGTGTTCCCCCAGCCCTTCCCAGTATGTCCCAGTGACCTCCCAGTCACACCGAGTCCCTCCCAGTGCCCCCAGAACAGGCCCTAACTCCATTCCAACGACTGTAATTCCCTCCCAGTGCCTGCCAGTTTGTCCCAGTGCCCCCACAACAGGCCCTAACTCCATCCCAACGCCCCTACCCCACTCCCAGGCCCTCACAGTTTGTCCCAGTGCCTCTCAGGACTCCCAGTCCCTCCCAGTGCGCCCAGAACAGGCCTTAACTCCATTTCAACGACTGTAATTCCCTCCCAGTGCCTGCCAGTTTTGTCCCAGGGCCCCCAGAACAGGGCGGGGACTCAGTCCCTCCCAGTGCCCCCAGAACAGGGCCTAACTCCATCCCAACGCCCCTACCCCCCTCCCAGGCCCTCCCAGTTTGTCCCAGTGTCTCTCAGGGACTCCCAGTCCCTCCCAGTGTGCCCAGAACAGGCCTTAACTCCATTCCAACGACTGTAATTCCCTCCCAGTGCCTGCCAGTTTGTCCCAGTGCCCCCACAACAGGCCTTAACTCTATCCCAACGCCTCTACCCCCCATCCCAGGCCCTCCCAGTTTGTCCCAGTGTCTCTCAGGGACTCCCAGTCCCTCCCAGTGTGCCCAGAACAGGCCCTAACTCCATCCCAACGCCCCTACCCCCTTCCCAGTGCCTCCCAGCTCGCCCAGTCTCACCAGCTGGCCGGCCAGCAGGGGCATGTACTCGATGATGGCGAGGCGCACGCGCCACTTGGCGTCCTCGGCCAGCTCGACGATGGCGGGCAGCAGCGACTGCGAGAGCTGCCGGATGCCAATCACCTCGTTCACGCAGTCCAGGTTGGAGATGATGTTCAGCCGCACCTCGGGGCACTGCAACGGTGCGCCAGGGTCACTGGGAGGGACTGGGAGGGACTGGGACATGCTGGGAAGTGCTTACACACCATCACGGGGACACTGGGGTCACTGGGAAAGGTTACTCAGAAGTACCAGTACGTGGAAGCTCCACAGGTGCCCCCAGGTGCGTCCTCAGGTGTGCCCAGGTGTGCCTGACATGTCTCCAGCTGTGTCCCCAACCCCCACAGGTGTGCCCAGGTGCCTCACCTCGTCCTTGAGCTGCGCCAGGAAGAGTGGCAGCAGATGCTCCACCGTGTTGTCCTTGCCCAGGATCGGGGACAGCCCCATGATGACCGAGGCCAGCGCCGACTTCACGTGCTGGTTG